TAGTATTATTTTATGATTAATTCCTCTTTGTTCTCTTTTGCTTCTCTCTCTCTCTCTTTAAAAAATAAAAATAAAATTAAAAAAATAAAAAATAAAAAAAGAGGGGCAAAACCTTTACCTGTTGTACTAGTTGATACTGGGGATGGGTAATTAGTGGAGACACTGCTGGTTTGGAGCTGATTTGTGTATTTTTATAAATGAGTTTGGGTTTAGGTACACCGATAGTGGGTAGCCGTTGTTCCTACTTATTTGTTAAAGCACAATTTTAACATGTCATACCCATTAGTATTAGGTGGGATGTGGGAATCTTACCTAATGCCTTGTGACCATGAATAAACAGATTTGCAGGTACATGTGGATCATTCTTATTATTTTTTTTAATGAGCGATCATGTGAATTCATTAATTAGGATATATAAAGGCCTATACGGACAAATATCATTCAAAAAAAAAAAAAAAATTACATGTATGTTTCATTTATTTTAAAGGTTTTGTTTGATGAGAAAGGCTCAAGCCATATGGAGCCTCATGTATCACCACACTTAAAGTGAAAGAGCTAATGTTTGCCACTTACTCAACCTGGCGGTGGTGGTTTTACTTATTTAGATTGATTTTAATTGAATCACATGATGCTATTGCTATTTAGTACTCCGTTTTTAATAGTGTATTTGTGGCTAGTACTTACCAAGTCAGCAGTAATTAGATTTCTTTTTCTTTTTTTTTGGTACAATAAAAGATAATTATTTTTCATATCTTATTTCACTTTAATTGCATATCATACAATTCAAATTCATAATCTCTTATTTTTAACAAAAAAAATTATCATAGAACTATTTAAATCATTGGCAGTAATTATTAGATTTTTAAAAGTTCAAATAATGGTTTTTTCATAAATGTTATAATTATAATATTACGTAAAATTGTAAGTTAATTATAATCATGATGTATTATTAATTAAGTGAATATATACAATATTATGATATTACTAAATGAAAATAAAAAATCATATAATTTATGACATGTTATAACTGTAAGTTTATATTGTCCTATGGTAATACTATAATTATATTACTTTTTTTTGTTTTCCTTTTCAAGTGCTTAATTTGGAACCTTTATTAACTACCATATTAACTACCATATGAGGGTGTTCGACAAAACTTAATTAAAAAGTAATTGTTTAAAAAGTAAAATTTTCTTTTACAAACTTAAAATTTCATTAGATGAAAATTCAAAAATTAATTTTTGAAGGTGGTTTTAAACGAGTTTGGAAAAAGGTTAGATGTGCACTTTTTCCATACTTGTTTAAAAACACATTTAAAACTACTTTTGAATTTTTTTTAATAGAAATTTGAATTTGTGAGAGAAGACTTTGTTTTTCAAACAAATACATTTTAAGTTTTATCAAACACTCTCTATAATTTTAATTCTTTTATCGCCCAACCTTCATTAATTGCGTTTAATTAACAAAAAAAAAAAACAAACAAACAAACAAAATATGTTTTTTACTCCATGCACAATTATTTTTTTTACACCAAAGAAAACTCTTATGTTTTAGGTTAAATGCCAAATTTAAGTTTCTCAACTTTCAAATTTTGCACAGTTTTACTTTCTTAACTATTATGAGCACTTTTTTTT